TGCATTGATACCTATAAATAATTACCTTATTTTAAATAATTATTTATAAGTAATATTAACGCAGGTAAAACAGAAACTAACTGCAACTATAACTTAGCATAACTACGACCTGCAGCCACATCTTAATTGGTTGACGAAATCACTTCACATGTGAAACTTAGTGTGCTAAGTACTGTGTTAGACTGTTGACAGCTATTTTAAGTCGAGGAAAAATAATTAAATTAATTGAAAACATTACTTTACTTTAAACACTATATATAAATACCAAAATTCAAAAAAGTTAAAGACTTATTGGATACAATTATTAAAACAATATTCACTGTCGAAATATTACAATATAAATAAACTAAATCTATTCGATTAAACATTCACACAGTGTATAATAATAATCGTTGTCAACAATAAACAATATACTAGTCACCCCAGCTTCCTATTATAATAATAATAATATTTGTAGCCAGCAGTTAACCTAACCTAACCTATTATTATATTACACATAATATTATATTTATTTTTTATGTACTAGCCACCACAGCATAATATTATCAATTTTTTGTACGACAGAGTTTTTTTTTTTTTTATTGATCTTAAATTCATCGACATCTAGGTCATTATGCGTCATAATAATATAATAATAATTATAAATATAAATATATAACGTCACTGAAGTTATTGACAATAGTAGGTAGGTAATATTGGTAATAGGTATTGAGTATATTATGTGGAAAGGACAGAAAATGAGTTATTTCAGTCGTAGGCGACGCACAGTGGTCTGAAATCGAATTTTAGGCGAAAAAAAGTGAAAGAAAATTGTTTGCTCGTCATGCAGGGAGGTTATAATATGAATATAACTTATAAGATGTTGCCCACGATGTAAATAACCTAAAGTTTATGTTTTGTAAGGACCGTGGCATATAGTTTTCAGTGTTGCCCCAATTACTTATTCGAGAGGGGGTAACATTTATTTTACCCCCAATGATTTTTTGACATCATACAGCATACATTTTATACATACATTTATCTAGTTAAGTCTCAACACAAATTAATGTGACTTTCTGGTAAGGTTTGCTTTTAACTTTTCTTTGGTAGACAGTCGAAAATTTTTTAATTTTCTTAATTTTAAATGAATTTTGTTTAAGTTTCAACTTTAGACCCATATTGAAAATAATATATTGTGGATCTGTGTTCAACTTGACCGAGAGAGAAAATTATTTATCGATGATAATTAAAAATAAAAATGTTTAATGCTCAAAAAGAGTCTATATATTTTGAATATCTTGTAGGAAATATCTTTCAGGAAAATTCTTATATATTATATAAACATTTTGTTAAAATATAAAGTTTTTACGGTTAGTCATTTTTGAGTTACAACAGAAAAACACAATCGATTTTGTCGATAACTGGTTTTGTATAAAAATTACTTTTATATTTGTTAATTTTTTTTTTGTTTTTCACGACGCTTTTGAAAATTACTGGGAACTTTTTTACTTTTGATTTTTGACTCAACAAAGTATCAACTTGATTCACTTCCCTATCAGACAAGATGCTGAAGTAGAAATTTGAAAATAGAATTTATGTTTTAATGGTAAAACTATTAATTAAATTATTAGTTATTGGCTATTTCTAATGTTATCACACAGTACACACTACACGCTGCGACACACTAGGAAGTCATCTTTCTTATATTTGTACAATATCTTTTTACACTTAGGATTACGATTATCCACCAATTTTGGTTGTACACCCACCCCTTAAAATAGGTGTGGCGGCTGCCACACCTAATACATGGGTTCGGCGCCACTGACTACATGCACATACGATACACAGTTAAAAGAACAATAATTAACAGGGTAGTACGTACCTTTATTATTATTTACTATTACTACCTACCTAATACCTATATAATATGGCATACCGCATACGCAAATACACAATAACATTTTCAAAAACTTCAAATTAATTTTAAACTTTCTATAACATGAACCTATTCTCAGAATTCTACACTTCTCACTTCTCAGTACAATTTATAGTAGTAGGTATAGTACATCAGTATTGACCACCGACTAAGATAATCAATAGGTACATCTATATTGATAAGTCTAAGTCCATGGTAGAGACATATTATAAGGAATTAGGAGCTAGTGCCTACTGCATAAAAGTATTGCAGGCGGTATAAACCTATAGTACCTATTATTATTTATTTGTTATAAGTAGGTTTTTTTTTGTATGAGTAATGAGTATACTGATATAGGTACCTAATATTTTAATAATTATAATAGGTACTACATAATGTCTAATATTGACATAAATATAAAATAAAAATATATCCTTATAATTGTATTTATAAATATAGGCTGACCGAGCGGAGACAGGGTCGGATTTTATTTTCTGTATACACACGGACTATATTTCATATTATAATCTGGCGTAACTAGGGGGGGGAGGTTCGGAGGGCAGCCACCCTAACTGTAAGGTCTAGTAAAGCCCATGGCCTATGGCTATGCTACCAATAAGTAATAAAATAACTATCAAATCAAATTGAATATAATATGCATATATTCAGTACATGGTTATAAGTTATAACTTATAACTGATAAAGCATGAACAGAAAATTCACACCAATATAATTTCGAGGCTTTAAGAATTTGTCTTTTTTTTATTATTATTCCCGCCTCCTGGTATTTTTTTATATTTTTGCAAATTATTTCTCTTATCAGATCTGCCCCAAGTTGCAACCACAGACTATGAAATAATATAATAATATAACCTGTGGTATGAGTGATATGCCCCTATCTTTCTGGCGTTCTACGTTCTGGTCTTTCTATTTTCAGGTAAAATATTTTATGCAACACTTTTTTATGGATCATAGCGTTCTGTAAAATTGTGTTCTATTATATTCCATTCTGGAATTATACACCCAGCGGAATGAATATGTGAAGTGTTTGAGTTTTCGCAATAAGCTAAATAAAATTTGATTTTTATATTATTATACTATTATTATCATCTCTATTTTAGACCTATATACAAAATAATAATATTATGTGGACCATACACCTACACATTATATTATTAATTTTTATTATATATTATACGGACTAGATTCAACTAAAAATTGAATTGGACTTTTTTATGCATACAAAAACATTACATTCGCCCTCTCCATTGACCCATAAATCCCCTTATTTGTTTCTTTGGTACTACCCCCAGATTGCATTTAAATATATTATTATTACTCATGACCTCCTCCCTCCATTGGAATTTCCTGGGCACACCACTGTTGTTTTAATTGTTTTTTTTGTGGAGTGAGGAGGTACTATTAGGTAGCTAAAATACTGAATAGATTGTATGAATAAGCCCTCCTTGAGATTACCTAGCCGTAAGCACAAATCTACACAATATATCATATCAATACCTTAAACAGTTATACCTCAGTAGCTTATAACTTATAAGTTTAAAGTGTAAGGTTTATGCATAAATAAAAAATGCAATTCAAATGTTTTTCCACGCAATTATTTTCTAAATATTCTTTACTCCAAGACCATTATGTGCCAATGAATATTTGTTCCAAATGTTTTGTATAATAAATCCTGTGGAACAAATAAATTATGTAACAAACGTTCATCGGAACAATTAATGTAAATGTGAAAAGATATAATTGGATGAAATTTATATGGAAAAAATGTTCATTGGAACAAATGTTTTTCGACAAATAGGTATTGGAACAAATGTATATAGGAACAAAAGTAAAATTTGGAAGTTAATATCATTGGAATAAGTTGACTTGGAACAAAAAATTGTGGAACAAAAGGTAGTGATCCAATCCCTCGAGGACTTCTATATAGCACGATTTAAAATATATATTATCTTAAATCATGCTACGTAGCCACGTAGGTGGTATAGAGTACCTGTAGACTATCAGTGGCGGATTTTAAACATTTTTCTGGCGAGGATCTAAGAAATAATATGTAGTTACCTATTTCAAATGTATTATTTTTATTTTTATAAAATTAATTAATTATATTACTATACTTTATTGATTAATGATTACTATTACGCAGTATTATTACTACAGTACTACACTATTTACAAATCTGTAATCCCGCGTCATCAACATCACGGTAACCATTGGTGCTAATCTTAGGCTTTTTATTATATTTTAAAATTTAAAGCGAGTTATGAGTGTTTTAAGATATGCAAACAATTAAGAATTTTAAAATACTCATAACTATATAAAATAAAAATATAATAAAAATTCTATGACATTGCTTAGATAATAATCTTACCTTTAAATTTTAAAATGGGTCAATTTACTCTAATTTAATCTAAACTAACTGAGCATCTGCTGAGCGTAAAATTTGCTAATTTACGTATTTGCATAAGACGGAGACAACACATATGTGGGTGCCCCGTCCTTTTAATCTTTAGAACTATAAGTAAATAGGTACTAACTGCACACAAATAAATACTATACATTTTTTTAAATACTTTACATTCTATTGAATGCGGTCCTCCTGTAGGTACCTACTAACTATTATATACCATTATATCCTCATTATAGCAGTATATCCTCCTCATAGTTTTAAAAAGTTAAGTCTGCCTTAAATATCTGCATTAAGTTTAGTGTTGTCTAGATTACCTATGATAGAATATAAAGTTCTTCCTTAAGTAATCATTATCATATTATAGGTACTCTGGTAACAAAAAATTGTTTTGGATTTTGGTATTAAATAGTATTTCACATCATATAAAATTGTACGCGTTGTTACTTGTCACACAACATTATACCATAGACCTATAGAGCAGAGGTTCCCAAACTTTTTATTGTACGACCCATTTTGAAAATTTTTTAAAATATGGCGACCCACAATATCAATGAATGACCTTTTTTTTTTTTTTTTCCATACAACAGAAAATTAAACTATTTTATTAAATTTTATGTAATTACGAAAAAAAAGTATAATAAGTATAATATATTAGTAAAATTTAATAAGTATATAATTTTAATGTGAAGGATGTAATTGTTTCCTATTTTTTTTCATCACATCATCGATATCCACTTCAGCATTGGTTAGCTTGAGACGCAGTGAGTTTGAAAGTTTCAATTTGCTCCGTAATTTGGTTTTAATAGCAACCATTGCCGAAAAACCAACCTCACAATTATATGATGAAATGAATGGGAGTAGCATCTTTACAGCTTCATTGGAAACAGTTGGATAATTTTCTTGAACTGATAACCAGAAACTTATTAATTTTTTTCGATTGAAATTCATTTTAAACACACTATCTTCAAATAGTTCGATTAATTCTTCTTTAGCTCTTATTGATAACCCACTTGTCATATCATGTTCTTGAAAAGGATTTGAAATCCATTTCATTTGTTGATAGTTCTCCATTTCACTCAGAAAATATGAATCAAAATTATCTTTTAGTGTTTGTAAATGATCAGAAATAGATGTAATAATGCTATCATCAACTTCTATTTGATTTTCAATTATGAAATTAGAAAATGATTCAAAACAGTCAAACATTTTGTTTTCAATATTATTTTTCCACAACAAAAGTTTTTTCATAAATGCTCGAATTTTGTCGTGAACTGAAAATATATCTCCGCCTATACCTTGCAAATATAAATTAAGTTCATTTAATTTAGAAAATATATCTGCTAAGTATGTAAGCTTTAAAATAAACTTCACATCACGTAAGAATTTTACGTAATCATTTTTTTCGTCCAAATAATAAGTGACTTCTTCGCGAAGTTCGACAAGTCTTGTAAGAACTTTCCCCCTCGATAGCCAACGTACCTCAGTGTGAAGGAGAAGTGATTTGTGAATACTGCCCATTTCTTCGCAAAGCTTCTCAAATAAACGGGACTGTAACGGCCTTGCCTTAATAAAATTTACTATTTTTACAGACGTGTTTAATACACTTCTAAAATCATCTGACAAAGATTTTGATACTAATGCCTCCCTATGGATATTGCAGTGCATCCATGGCACATTAGGGTTAATTTCACGAATTTTAGTAATAACACTACTGTTCTTACCACACAATGCTCGGGCGCCGTCCGTACATAACCCGACACATTTTGTCCATTCAATTCCTTTCGCTGTTATATAGGTATTAAGAGTATTAAAAATTTCATCACTTGTACCTCGAATAATCGGTTCACAGCACAAAAAATCCTCGTGAGATTCATTCATCCATATGTAACGTACGAAAACAATCATCTGAGATAAGCCTTGGATATCTGTGGACTCGTCTAGCTGTAATGAAAACCATCTACTCAATTTAACTCTTTCAATCAGTTTATTTTCTACCCATTCAGAAATGTCATCGATTCTACGCGACACTGTATTATTTGAAAGCGATAACTTTTCAACTTCTTTTAAACATTTTTGATCAAACAAGATTCCGACTGCGTCTTTGATTGCTGGTAAAATTAAAGACTCACCAATTGTGTGAGGCTTACCAGTTTGAGCAATTCGTAAACATATTTTATATGAAGCGTACGTAGCTTTTTGGTTAGTTGCAGTAAAATTAAAAATATTATTTTTGGATGTTTTTAGAGATTCTAGTTTTTTTTTATAAAAATCGAGTGGTTTACCTTTCATTTCTGGATGGTTCGTATCGATATGTCGATGTAATTTGTTTGGTCGCATACTCTCATTTGCAAGTATACATCCACAAATAACACATTGTGGTCGTGGATTTTCTTCGTCTCCGTTCCACGTAAATCCAATTTGCAAATATTCCGGACAATATTTTCTGCAAGTTTTTTTTTGTTTTAATTCCGAAGAACTTGTTGAAGGCTCATCGTAATTTAATTTTCTTTTTTTGACTGTTGACACAGATATTGTCTCCATTTTTTCTTGACTTTGACTCATTGACTTTTTGTTTAACCAATTGTCCATAGTACAAAAAATGAATTTATTTAAAACAAAAAGTACTATTTAATATTTTAATATAAAACTGCGTACGTGTATCGTATTCGATGTGCCGCGTGTTACTGAAAATAATCAAAAGTTTTGAACGTCAAGCGACATTCACGTATCTACTAATTTGTTTCAGATAGGTAAATCGTTATATTTACAATAATTATTCTTTATTAATCTGATTGTGTCGATTTGACACGGCCGCTGGTAAACTCGTAATTGTCACACTCACAGATAAGGATTGACGATAAAACTGAATTTGAACTTTGAACATCAACGAAAAGTAATAGATGATTATATTTTTGTATTATTTAAAAAAATAGCGCGACCCACCAAAAGTATAATCGCGACCCACTTTTGGGTCGCGACCCACAGTTTGGGAACCTCTGCTATAGAGTATAGGCTATAAACTAGTTTATGGGTCTATGCAACAAGCCTTTGCCAATAATATAATATTGGTATTTAAAATAATAAAAAAATACGTACTTGTAAATTAATTCAAATTTAAGTATTTTGGCTGTTGAATTAATATTGTTTTTAAATTCTTGATAATTACCTATTTAAATCACCTTAAATATCGAGCATCGAGAGTATACGCTTTTCTCATTATCTTATGCATATTATAAATAAATGTAAATATACGTAGTCAAAATTATAATTTTATTAGGTACATGCTCAATAGATTTTTTGGTTTTACAATAATTGTTTTTATATCTGTATATGTTAGCGGCAATGTGTATAATATTGGTATTTTATATAATGTCTAGGAATTCTATATAACGCCAAATACAGCTGGAAATCTATAAAATTGTTTAAATTACCTAAGCATTATATGAAATGCCAAACAATGTATAGGTAATATATTAATTCCATATAATCAGTACCTATTGATATTTGACAATATATAAATCCATTAGTAATCTGTAATCTGTATGAATTGGGTTTACGATCTATTGCCACTCAAGAAGCAACTGGATATGGACAAGAATTTATTAAATGTTCATGTGCGACAAGATGTCAAAATAACAGATGTAAGTGTTTAAAAAATAAAATTCATTGCAATTCAAAATGTCATCCTAACCTACAGTGTTGTAATAAATAAATTTAACAACTTTTTATAAACTTAAACATATGAAATATAATGTTTTTTTTTGTAATAATAGAATACTTTTAGTAACATTTATTTTGTCTTAACGAAATTTAAAATAAATTAAAAAAATTACATTGTATTAATTATTCCTAATGAGGACCTACGTTCTACATAGATTTTTGTATTTTATAGAACAATATAATAGTAATAATAATTAATAACTGCATGTTAGTACTACTCATACAATTTACAAATTATTTTTTTTTTTTTCATTTTTATGCATTTTTATGCATTATATTCTGTAATATTAATGATACCTACTTTTTAATAAATATTTTTTGAGCGCTAATAAAATTAATAATTATCTTAATTATGATAGAAGGAAATCTATTTATTTGGGTTACATCACTATTCTACAGATTGCCAATTTGTTGTTTGTCATTTTATGAAATGTCTAGTTATTATACAAAATATTTAGGAAATGTGTGTAAAAAAAAATTTATTATACACTTTTTTAAAAACCACCAGGTATTATATAGAATTCCTAGGCATTTTATATATTAAATATATTATACACATTGCCGCTAACATATATATAACTGCAACCTCTCTATCACTAGACCACACAACCCGCCCGAGACATGCAAGGATTCTTCGTCTATTAATATAATATGTTAACTATCTATTATTTGCAGCACTTTGGGGGCTTAAGTATAATATAGGAATTATATAATTATAATTAATCGGGTTAACGGAATTTCAATAAACAATATGTACCTAAATAGTATATAGGCATATATATTAGGTTTTAACTATTAACATAACGTAAGTATTATAAATTATAATGTACCTATATATTTTATATTATACAGTAAACTCTCGGTGTATTGAAATTCGAGGGACACCCGGTCGTCCTGAGATAAAAGTTGGAGATATCGAGTTTTATTGGAACGGTAATTATTTCAAGGGGATTTCAATTGAGTTCGACATTATACTAAAAATTCGAGATATCGACGTTTGACATAATGAGAATCTACTGTATGTTATAGGCGTGTGCAGACATAAATTTCTGGTCGATCCTAGGCAATTATAATAGTGCCCTAATATTTGAACAGCGCATGTTGATGTATTAACCTATTAATGTCTATAGTTCTATAGTCTATAATTATTGTATTTGGATAAAGGTATAATATTTTTGTTGGATTAATAAAATGTATGTAGTGGTACTAGTGGTAGGTACCTACACACAAATATTTTTGATTTTGTTATACTTTCACAACAAACAAAATTTTCATGATCTCCACGATCATATTATTATAATATAAATTATAAGCATTATAATAAAATATACACCCACATTTTACCATGCCCCTAAAAAGTTTTAGGTCGAGCCTGGGCTTGACATTCTCGCCCGCACCGCACGCCTATGTGTATGTACCTAGTCTAGACATAAATACTGTCAGTACTTCAAACTTATATTACTTAAGAACAACGAGTCGTATAAAAATTTTATAAATATATTTTAATAGCACAACTAATTACAATTTTAACCATGTATAAATTATTTTAAATGTCCCCTTTCGTTTTCAATACAACGACGTAAACGTTCCGGGCACTGTTCAATACACGTTATAGCACGTGTAATATCATCCCCATAGTTCAAATTGTTTTAGTTTATCGACAAGACTATCTTCACATATATAATTGTTAACAATATATACTAAATGCATATTTACTTAACATATTTATAAATTATAAAATATATTATACTAGTTATATTCAATGATCTTACCTTCTTTTGTGCCCTGACAGAAGTACTTTCTACATTTTGTATGATCCGAACACATTATGGTTAGGCTCATTTACCAAATCTGATTTTAAATCCATTAATCGGGTTTCTACGGTATATTTTTCTGATGTTGTCGATTATATTTTACAGCCTCGTTGACAGAGTACCGTAATCGTAACAGACGAGTTTGAATATGTTTCTGAGATAACCTGGTATTCGCTCACCTTTGGAATTTTAGATTCTGAGTGGAACGATGAATGTATTGATTTTACAACGATGTGTGTTTTCTTTTTTTTATTTTTTTATGTCTGTGTACACGATAAGTAGTCGAAATAATGCTTCGATTTTCAACTTCGGTATATTGTTCGATTGGAAAGTGAATCTAGTTGGTGCATTCGGGAGGTCAAATTTTAAAATTCCCAATAGTTTTCACATGCACCGGGATTAAACACATACAAATTAAGGAATAACGGGAATTTTTACGCAAAATCTGTTTACCAAAAAATCGATTTTGGTTTTTGGTGTAACTCTAAAATAAATGAACATATATACATGAAATTGTCACTGGTTGTTTATATTTGCATTTTCCTACACGATAAAATTTTTAAAATACTATGATTTGTTTTGAACTGTTTAGGGACATTTTCATTTTCTATTTTTTTTTTAGTTTTTATTCTAAAAATATCAATAAAATTTTATTTGTTGGTTTTGAAAGCTTGCAAATTTAATAGAAGGCTCCTAGTATATTGTTTCAAAGGCAGATGAAAAATATTAAAAATCCTTAGTCACAATTTTTATAAGCATTTAAAGTTCAAAAATTGACAAAATATGGAAAAATCACGAAAATTAGCAAATTATACCCTATCATTTTTCTTGTTAAATTTTTCCTCTACAGTAAAAATTTTTTCATCGGTAAATAAAATATTTTTAAATTTTTTTCGACAGTACAGACTACAGGCGTAGCAGCTTTTTGGATCTTTCATTTCTTATTGCCTTTAATCGGTCCGTCAACAGATGGCTTGTACATCGTTAGTATGGATACTACGACAATTCCTGTGATTGAGCAATGTACCTGACTCTAATTATAGTATATTTACAGTGTTGCAACATTTAAAAGGCAACATTTTCCCAAACTGCATAGTAATGACAGTATTTATGTATGGACTAGGTATAATTAATATGCACTAGGTGCTTGAAGTGTGCGCGTCATCATCACTATATTATTATAATAATAATATTAAACATAATAATTAATATTCATACATCGCCCGTGTCTTAATATTATTATTGAAGTATATTATACGCGATGGATCATCAGTGACAGTATGGGTAGTTGGGGCAGTTCTGTGGGCTGACGCCGGACGGGTACCTCTTGTGCTCGTACCTGAGCGCCTAGGCCGGTACCTGGTGTGAGCAGTACGGGTAGTTAAGGCAGTTGGACTAGGAGAGACCGGCGGGGTAACCGGGCTCGGTATACGGCGCCGGGACCAGCGGCTGGTTGTTGTGGTAGTTGGACTTGGACGCCTCGGACGGATGGTGTTGGTAACCAGAACCGTAATACTGGCCGACATTGTTGTTGTTGGTGTAATGGTCGTTGTAGTCGTTGCCGGCCGCAGGTTGGGCGTGCGCGGCCAACAGTACGTTGTCGCAGTGTGGGTAATTGGGACACAGGGCCGGGTTCAGTCCGGACGGGTACCTGGCGCCGTGGCTTGGATCGCAAAAACGATTGCCAGAGTACAAAAGACCAACAAAAACGAATTATCACGATATTTCAAAATACAATAATACACTGAATTAGTTTTTGAAACAGCTGGGATAATATGTATGGAAATTGGCGGTCGGTGTGCAAATTTGTGAAATTATCACAATCTTTCAAAATACCTATATAATCTACACCAGCTACTATACTGTTTTTTTTTTTAAAAGAATACACATTCATTTTTAAAAAAAGTTTGGTAAGAAATCGGCTTATATAGACAGTGGTCAAAAAATTGCAGAGAAATATTTTCACATGATCGTGTCTTTTATTGGCGGAGTCTATCTGAAATTCGTAGTGTGTCTATGCCTTTATGGTGTCGTGGTGACATTATCATCAGTAGTGTAAAAAAGACAGTTCTAGAACCAGATTCCTATGCTCTCGAGCAGAACCCTGACACCGGGCCGCAGACGGCAGATCCGGTCGTCACCGGCTGAACCCACCACCGTGCGCGACATACCACCACACATCCCCCCCGCCCCCGTTACCACGCGAGCACCCTTATCCATATGGCCGTAGCTGGCAGATCCTTATGTTCTCGAGCAGAACCCTGACACATGGCCAGGCTACTAGGCTAGTGCAATTACTGTATAGGGAAGATTTAAACAGTGTTAGTTCGTTTCACAAAAACTAGTACCTAGCCTTTCACTCGCGCAGTGGTTGCCCCTCCAGTGACCGTTAATCGGCGGCCGGCCGGTTATCAGTTTATGACTAAACCCACCGACGTTCATTTTTATTTTTTGAGTGCATCGTGCATGAGATTTTATGTTTAAATTTAATTTGTTATTAATTATTATAATTATTCGTTTTTTGCTCTAGCTTAGCTTTAGTTTAATATGTCTAAGAACAAATCTAAATGTGTTGTGCCTGGTTGTTCATCAAAAAGTAACTTGCCTGCAAATAGTACTTAATGTCAATTATAATTTAAATTTTATTTGTGTGCGCTGCACAGTGGAATAAACTGAGCTAGTAGTTGGCCGAAACTAATTACAGTAGAGTTTCGCTAATCCGGTCAATCTATATTTCGTACTTAAGTACTCATGTATAATGTATATATTCGTGATTCGTGAATACCCATGATTAAGATATTATCGTTTCGATTACATAATATGTAGCCATGTAGGTATTGTGATATTGTTTCCAAATATAAGGGAATACCCATGATTAAGATATTGTTTTGTAAGTTTTAAAAAAACGTCATTCCGTTTAATCCAGATTTTCGATAATCCGGATAGAGTCCGGTCCCATCAAGGCTGGATTAGCGGAACTCTACTGTAAATTTAATGGTGCTAATTCGGTATGCGCTCTACCGGTTTTGGCGTTCTATACTCAGTCTACATTCGGTACGCGGATATTGGACTGCAATTACTGTATATGCGTTATCTGCCTCGTTTATATAAAATATGTTGGGTATTTCTTTCAACTGTTAATAATCTATTAGTACTCAGATACTTGTCTGCAAAGAGTCATCAATAAAATAATACAAAAAAATTTAACAAATATAAATATAAAATAAAACCGAGTTAAAACGACCTATGTAGACCGTAGAGTACATACCGACTCACGACACTTTTCGGTAGAGCGCATACAGAAACAGAAACTTGTCGGTAGAGCGCATACCGAATTAGCACCAATTTAATAATGTCATAAATCATAAGCGATAAGCATAATAATATTCTTTAAATTTTTTAATAAAGACGTCGTAGTTCATCGGTTCCCTAATCCAAAGCAGCATATGGAACGGCTTTTAACATGGATTGAGCGAGTTGGTCTGAAGGAGTGTGACCCTTATGTTATATATCAGAAGAAATATATTTGTGCATTGCATTTTTCTTTGGATTGTTCTGGTTCCTGGAACCAAAAAGTTAAATGCTAAAGCCGCGTCCACACTAGAGCACGCACAGACCGAGCATGTGTGCTCACGACGCACAACGAACGCGAGCCGACTAGATCGGCTCGCGTTCGCCGTGCGTCAAAATCGCTCTTGCGTGCTCTAGTACACATGCTCGGTCTGTGCGTGCTCTAGTGTGGACGCGGCTTAATGCATATCCTACATTGCTTCTTCCAGCAGGTAAAGTTGCACTTATTATGTAACTTATGAATTATTACAGGCTAAATATAATTTTAAGTAACGAACCTAAAACCTAGAATATTGAATGGATGTATAATTTCTTCGTTTTTACATAATATATTGACAGCCTTTAATAATGTAAGTTTTATTGGGTATATTTTAGATGTCTCGTGTTCAGAAACACCAGTTCCCTGTTTGTCTGCCCATTCATCACCAATTCCTTCCACATCACGCTGTTCATACCAAAACACATAAGAGCAAAATAATATACTCAGGGTTGCCACTAGAGTTTAAAATTGGAAATGGTTGGAAAAGTGACTAAAAAATTTAAAAAAGTGACCAATATTTTTTAATTACAATTATTTATTATTATTTTAGATTATTAAATTAGTATATTAATTTAATTTAGTATAAAATTCATTAGAGGAGGAAATAATAAAAGACATAAAACCTTATTATTATTTAACCGAAATATTTTTAATTAATTAATTTTTTATTTATTTGGCCATTGGCTTTTTTGTAAGTTTTTATGCCGGTAGGGGGAGGAACACCTGTGTGTTTTGTTTCGCAGAATTTGTATTGGGCACCTGTAGGTATCTGGTATGCCCGGGTGGGATGGCGGCACTTGTTTCCCTGACACTTGGCCACTCCACCCCCATTTTTTTTAAAATTTATTCTTATATACTATAGTAATAGTTCATATACAAAACAAACAAATAACATATTTCATGTTAATAAATTAAGATTTTTCTTAGTAACAGTCTTTTTTTAATTATTGCTTCATATACAGATAGGAACAAATAGTAATTTTCATTAAAGCCTAATAAAATATGTTAAGATAAATGCATAATTATTACAAATGTCAAAAAATATATACTTGAATACACAAAATAATATTTGTTCAGCCTTATAAAGTTAAATTAAAAATCTGCTCTCTAATTATAAATCTAAAGCTTAGGTAAAGCTAAACCAATTATTAGCGCAATTGTTTGGTGAAATAGCTGTATTAATTTTTTTAAGACTAATATCTTAATGAAGTTTGTTTGACTTTAATTTTTTTATTACATAAACTTCTCTCAAATCTTTAATGTGAATCATTTTTGCCTTATAGATTTGTTAACAAAAATTGGTGTGCATAATACAAAACAGTTAACACCGAGGTGCAAACATTTTATATGTTAACCAACAAATTGCTAAGAAACCAGCGTCAGATAAGCAGTAGTAAAGAACTGTTTAAAAATAGATTGAGAAAAGCTGAAAAATGTACTGATTATTTTATTAAGAACAAACTTGGTGCTAAAGTTACAGCTGCAGCCTCACTTTTTACTCAGTTCCAACTTCGGGAAACCAAAAAGAAGATCCGTAGATTTACAATGGAAGAGAAAATATTGAGTCTTTCCATTTACAAAAAAAGTCCAAAATGTAAAATAAAAAAAAAATAATATTAAAATTTAATATTATAGAACACTTGACGAAATTCAGAAACAAATTGTAAATACCAGTCAGTAAGATAAGACACCTCCTAAGAAACGAGGTAGCAAACGTCGAATTGACCTTCCAAATGAAAAACAAGAGTCTTCTAATAGGTATGAAACAGTTCAGCGTTGACCGTCGTAGCGTACACACGCCTCGCGCTCGTTAGTGTTATCGCACAGTTATGCCTATCTTTAGTGTTAATATCGCTCGTTAAAAAAACAGGGTTTTTATATTAGATAAAATCTCGGTAAGGAGATTAATTAGTGGAGTAATTAAAGAGTTAAAATTAGAAATAAATTCTGATAAAACATTTGAGATGGATTCCATGGAAGAGGTTACCGTTTTGGTCGCTGCACCATAAGATTTCTTTGGAAGCTGCCGAACATAAACTCCTGGAACATCGTTTGACGAAAACTTTGTAGGCGTTGGTACATTTGTATTGTTGTTGGAGCGGAGTGCTGGTTTTTTGTTTTTTGGACAAACCGAACTTTTTATACGACTAGCAACCCTTGAAGTTGGCAGTGTGATCGCCACCGCATAAGGCGGGCAGATCACGCGGCCTGACGCACTGTTCAGTGAAATGATCCTGGCCACATTTCATGCAGCGAGGAGGGTGGCAACAATATCTTAACGTATGCCCATAAGATTGTCAACGCTTGCATTGAGGGTGACCTCTAGTTTTTGTTAATCTTGATTTTTCAACGATGATTCTAAAATTAAAAAAAATTTGAGACGTTAAATATATATCTATTAAATTCATTGTTCTCAAGTTCAATAGCGAAAAGAGATAGTGGCAACTTATTAGGCCTATTTATATGATTAGAGACACTTATGACTGAAAAATCCAGTGCAGATAGAGCCGTATCGATCTCTACTGTATCTGTGGAATGGTGAATATTTCGAATGACTGCTTTAATGGGGCACAAATGACGCGGACGAAAAGTGTGGAAAGAAAAATCCTTATTTTCGTCCATGAGATACTTTATAATTAGTAAGTGATATTTACAATTTGAAGTTTTAATTTTTAAAACATCGTTGGATGCAGATAGGGTGAACCGATCAAGCCCCGTTATACGGATAAGGTCACTCTTAAGTGCATTTACGTTGGAAATATTTTTGATAAATATTGGGGAAGACTTCAGATGCTCACTAACCGAGGGGCTGTTATCCGGTGTTTCGGAGTCGACCGTGACTGCCTCTTCAATGGAAGGTGAGGTTGATACCGGGGGTTGGCTGAAGACTTTGTTTGATGAATCAAAATCGTCCCCGAGAGCGGCATATTTGTTGGTGGAGACGTAGACTTTGGATTTTTTGTCATCGGTTTTAGGCGACAACTAAGTTGACGATAGATTTCGTTTGTGTGGTGTATTGGAAAGCAGCATGTTCAGTTTTTATATAATATAAAAACCCCTCCTTTTAACGAGCGATAAGGTAGGCATAACTGTGCGATAACATTAACGAGCGCGAGGCGTGTGTAGTGTGTACACTACGACGGTCGACGCTGAACTGTTTCATAACTATTAAATGACTCTTGTTTTCCATTTTGAACATCAATTCGACGTTTGCTACCTCGTTTCTTAGGAGGTGGCTTATCTTATTGAGTGGTATTTACAATTTGTTTATGAATTTCGCCAAGTGTTCTAAAGTTTTAATATATATTAATATTTTTTTTTTTTTTTTATTTTACATTTTGGACTCTTTTTGTAAATGGAAAGACCCAATATTTTCTCTTCCATTGTAAATCTACGACCCTTCTTCTTCTTTTTGGTTTCCCGAAGTTGGAACTGAGTGAAAAGTGAGGCTGCAGCTGTAACTTTACCATCAAGTTTGTTCTTAATAAAATAATCAGTACATTTCTCAGCTTTTATCAATCTATTTTTGAACAGTTCTTTACTACTGCTTATCTGACGCTGTTTTGTATTATGCACACCAATTTTTCTTAACAAACCTATAAGGCAAAAATGATTCACATTAAAGATTTGAGAGAAGTTTATGTAATAAAAAAATTTAAGCCAAAGTTTAGGTTAAGCCAAACAAAATTCATTAAGATATTAATCTTTAAAAAATTAATACAGCTATTTCACCAAATAATTGCGGTAATAATTGGTGTAGCTTTACCTAACCTTTAGATTTATAATTAGAGAGCAGATTTTTAATTTAACTTTATAAGGATGAACAAATATTATTTTGTGTATTCAAGCATATATTTTTTGATATTTGTAATAATTATGCATTTATCTTAACATATTTTATTAGGCTTTAATGAAATATCAAAAAATATTTCCAGATTTTATTAGAGCATATTAGCTTCATATTTGTATTATTATAATTCCACTCTCAACGTCTTATAATCAATTATTTTTAGTATAGAGCAGACAACTTCTAGCAATTACATATAATTTGGTCTGTACATTTACAAAAATATATTAAAATAAATATAATGTAACTATGATACCACATTTATAATATTATTAAATTGATGTTTTTTTTTAAAGAGATTTAAGTCTTCTGCCCTACTATAAAAAAAGAATTCAAATTATATTAACTTTTTTGATTTGCCGAAATACTTGCTCGTGCTATGTTGTTGTTTTTGTTAGGACCACTAACCATTACACCATCATGTAAAGCAAAGCAAGCATTCAAATTTAATAGGTGAAAAGAGTTATTAAGAGCAGCATTTGAAAAACATCCAGTGATTTGTAAATTACGTACCTTTTTACATTTTCGAAAAGATTAATTCCAGATAATATACTTTCATCAAGTATATTATTTTGCTCCCATGTGTTTTGGTATTGGTATAAACAGCGTGATGTAGAAGGAATTGGTGATGAATCGGCACTCCTGTTTGTCTGATTCGGCAGACAAACAGGGATAAAATGGCGTTAACCGGCCGGCCGCCGGCTGCCGATCAACGGTAACTGGAGGGGCCAGTGTTGCCAGGTTTTCATTATTGAATATCGCAAATATCGTATATCTAAATTGCCGCCATCCAGTGGTTTAAAAAGTAGCCCAAATCGCCGTCATAAAAAAATAAATAATGTTGCCATGTCTTGGAACATAATAGGAACTCTGTTTATGGTCCACACAGTTACCACTATTTTGCAGATACACAACATTGAACATAACATTGGCTTCTCAATTAGATTCTGAAAATATATGATTGAAATACTAATAGAATTGAAACCAAAAATCAAGTATAAAAGATTTTTAATTTCTTTTAATGAAAAAATATAATAATGTAACATGTAGATTTTGAATTTTAGATTTTGGATTTTCTATTTTGGATCTTGGATTTTGGATTTTTACCGAAAGTAATTTTATATTGTGTATATCGTACCTATTTGAGTGGAAAAATATGACCGGTGCAGATTAAAAAATGAACTCCATAATAGGATGTTCAAAATTATTGTTGAACACTGTTCACAACCAGTTGCCCGTTGGTAATTCTATATCAATGGTATTTATTTATTATATTTTATTGTATTTAAACATTTTGTTTGTTATTCGAAATAGACTACATTCTTCGACTTCTAAGTTCTAATATAATATAACCTAATATTATATTTAGTTTTTTGCTTTTTAAAACGCATTTACCTGCGGGAACTCCTAGACCTTACCTTCTTAATTCATACAGTAATTTTGAATTCATCAGTAAGTCTTGATGACAAACAAATTATATTGAAGTTTATAATTATATTATAATCAAAAATATAATAAAATATAAAATTGTAAAATATGTAATACATTAATACCTATATAATCTAGGTTATATACAATATACTACGCTAAATATCGTCGTTAATAAATACTGATGAATGATGATGACTGATGAGTATACATAAATATTGTCTTACAAACTCCGCCAAAACATAATGTGTAAATGTGTTGCCCGGAGTATTGTATAGGCAAAATAGGTACACCACTGCAGTGTTCAATATTGTTCATAATTATTACATTTTAATTCATCGCAAGTTATAGTATGTAATATTATTAAGTTCGTCGAGAGAAAGTGGTTGTGCGCAATCCAAAACTGATCGTTTTTAGCCACAAGCACCTCAATCAACACTCAGCTGCGTTAATATGCCTGAAATCACCACATATATGATACATGTATGATGTATCCATTATCCGAAACTGTGTACGCAATCAATTGTTATATTCAGTGATCAAATACGAGAATATCTGCGGGGGTAATTCTATTAAAAATGATTAAATTAAAGCAAAATGTACAAAAAAATCATCAAATTAGTTCAAAAATATAATTTAAGTTCATTGTGCAACTCGGCTACCCTGGTAGGCTACCGAAAATTCGATTTAATGGATGCGTCAGTGGTGGATTTGATTCGTCTTCTAGGGGGGGGGGAGCCAATATCCATTGGGTCCAAAAATATGTATATAATGTACCTGATTGGAACCTTGTTGTAAGTTTACTATCCTTAGCTACAAAAGTTGAACATTTTATAAATTGTTAACTACAAAATCATTTTAAAATTTAAAGTTTGATAAATGTTCTCAAAAATCGAACTTTAAATGCTTATAAAAAAAAATTGTGGCTATGTTATTTTTCAACTGCTATTTAAGCAATATATTATAAGCCTTGCATTAAATTTTAAAGCTTTTTGGCATAATAAATAAAATTTAATTGATATTTATAGAAGAAAAAAACTAAAAAAATTGAAATCTGAAATTGTCCGTAAACAGCTTAAAAAAAGTCAAAATATTTTGAAAATTTTATCAAGTATAGGAATCGATAAAAAAACTTAAAGGACTATACAACTAAAAAAAACCTATTTTTTTTTTTATTGTTTTAATGTATAGGGCTTTGAAAAAGAATAATTTTGGTGGTCTTAAAATTGTTGTCGGACAATTGGTTCCGTGTTTAAATATAAGTCGCGTTATACGCGTGACGTCATAAAATCACATCGTCCGACGGGTCGTATCTAATATACAAGCGCGGAATTTATTTCGCGCGATTAAAATAATTATAGAGAAAAATTAATTAAAGGTACAAGTTATTAAAGTACATTTATAAAAAGGTTATACACTTCTTTAGATGGTCATATTATTTTTATTGTGTTGAAATTTGTTTCAGGGTAGTTTATAGGAAAGACAAAAAAATAAAATTTACATAGGTATATTTAATAATATTATAATCCGTTATTTAATGTATTAACGAATGTGTTATTATAATTAATAATATAAGAACTAAAATTAATGTGTAAAAAAAACCTCAAAATAAAATATTATCATTCAATAAAGGTGAGTACCCTAGAATAGAAGTGTAATAGTAGGTTTTAAACAACTATAAAACTAACAACTTACATATTATTATTTTATGTACTATATTATGAATTATAATGTTTAACTTATTATAATAAGAAATAGATAACATGAATCACGGATTTTGAAAACCAATATATAATCCGTTTTCTTCCGGATAACGTTCACGAATTTTTGTGACCACACATGATGGAATAACAACTCTATTCCCTATAGTATAAAACAAACACAATAAACAATAAATTATTATATTTTTTCACTTACCTATGATTTTATCACTGTAACATTATCGAAAATAAATTTACTTACCTCTTCCAATTGTCATCCATGAATTAACCCAAAGTGTAAACTGTTTGTAGCAAATATATCGCCATGCTTTATTTTCCATAGTAGCTGATTGTAAACTTCTTTTTTTTGTTTTATTCTTTGTTTTTGAAATTTTGTATTGTCTGGTAATTTTTAAAATGTCTTCATCTAATATAATTTTTGAAAATGAGGCACTTTTTGTTATGCACTCATTGTTTGTGCACATTTTAAAAATATTCGCAAGTTCAAAACAACAAACACATTCACGATCATTTATTTGTTTTTCACATTTTCCACACGAGCACCAATCTGTTACAGCTAATTTAGATCTATCGTTGTAACTAACTACTGATTCTTCGTTTTCCAAATAATCATAGTTATCAACATCGGTAACCAAAGGCTCAAAATTGTACGGAATTATAGACATAATAATTGTATTATAAAATTCAAAATAGAACAAAAATCGTTTACTGTTTTAGACTCTACCGCTGAAGTTGAATCAGTCAGCGCACACTGCAGTAGGTACTGTAATAAACGACCATATGAATTTGTATACGTAATCACCAATGAAGTATATTATTTATAGCTTTTATAAATAGCTTATATTTTATGTAATATAAATTAATTGATAAAAATAAACGGGCTATTCACACTACGCATAAATATAAATTATACCTCAGACAGTCAGACCTCAGTCGATAGTCGACAGTATGTACCGTGAAGTATCGAAGTATCCGCGTGTTTTCTGGTTTTATTTATAATCAAACAAATATGACTTTGTGCTCGGTATTTGGTTGTGCGTCGAATAACGATCGTAAACGTAAAACAGTTGATAATGATAATAACTTGCATTTTTACACTTTTCCAAAACGCGATAAATCACCATTACGACATCGAAAATGGGAGCATTTTTGTAAAAGAAAAAATTTTAAGCCTAGTGCTGGGTCGGTTATTTGTTCTAAACATTTTATTCCGCTTGATTTTAATCAATCAGATGTTTTAAAAAAACAACTTATGCCAGAATCCAAGTGCATTGTAAGATTAAATCCCGACGCTGTACCTAGTATTCAAACTGGTATAAGCAATTCAAAAAAATCTGTAAATCCCAGGCAAGAATCACTGCATATTATGAAAAAACGCCAAATAGAAATAATTGATGATTTAATAAAAACTAGTACACCGAAGAAAAAAATGGTAACAAAGTCGTCGTTTTTTGAAGAAATTGACGATGTTTCAACTATTGAGGAGCCAGATGTCAATAATAAAATTCAAAAAACAAGTGAAATAGGAATACAGTGTGAATTGGGAAACGAAAATTTGATCAGAATAATTAATTATGAAAAAAAAAATGACTTATCGTTTGAAATAGAATCGGAATCCGAGGACAGCGAAAACACCAGTGATGATGAGACTTCAGAATCGCAAAACAATTATAATACTTGTAAGTCAAAAAATGTTAAATCATCAATAAATTTTAATAAGGATGAGTGTTTTATCGTTTTTTGGGAATGCCTATCAAAGCTTTTTAATAATTGTAATGTGTGTGGGTCAAAAATATTATCATTAAACAATTTTATTCAAGGTTCTTGTCTATGTGTAACTACTGTATGTGAAAAAAATCATACGTTTCAGTGGTACTCACAAAAAAAAATTAAAAAAAAGAGCAATTGGTAATATATGCATTGGATCGGCACTAATGTTATCAGGTATATTATTTGCGCAAATGGTTGAATTTTGTCAAGTATTGAATCTACGTTTTTTTTTCTAGAACATCTTATGACAAAATCATAAAAAAATATATTGGACCTGTGGTTTACAATGTTTGGACTTATCACAAACAAGATAATTTAAATAATTTAAAGACATTACCCAACATCTGGCTTGCTGGTGATGGCCAATACGATTCGCCAGGTTTTTGCGCAAAATATTGCATTTATTCGGTTATGGATTTAAATAGTTCTAAAATAATTGATTTTCAATTAGTCCAAAAAGGGATGGTCACGGGTGACCTCGAAAGAGCCGCATGCGAAATGTTGATACAAAAATTTATTGTAGAATATGATTGTAAGATTCAACTGTTTTTATCTGACCGTCATAGAGGTATTCGATATTTTTTTTCGGACCCAACACCCCGAAATAAATCATGAGTTTGACATATGGCACCTGTCAAAAAGTCTAATGAAAAGAATGAAGACATTAGAGAAAAAATATCCCGATGTATATTTATGGAAATCAAGTATTAATAATCACTTATGGTGGTCAGCACAGACGTGCGAAGAAAATGCCGATTTATTAGAAGATAAATTTCTTTCTATTTTATATCATATTGCTAATATTCATGAATGGACAGACGAAAACGGTATAACAAAACAATGCGAACATGAAAAACTGACGGACGAACAAGTAAAAAATAAGCTTTGGATACATATGAAAACTAGTTCCTATGATGCTTTAAAAAAAATTCTAACTGCGAAGGACTTCATTAAAGATTTGAGACAAGCAAAACATTTTGTGCACACCGGAAAATTGGAATCCTATCACAACGTGAGGCTCAAGTATATGCCTAAACGTATCCATTTACAGTTCAATGGTATGTTCGTACGATCTATATTAGCAATACTCGACCATAACAATAATACTAAAAAAACATTAATAGGAGAAAAAGTTGTATTTTCTAAACCACTAGGACGATTTACAATAAAAAATTCTTACAATAAGACTCAAAATAACTGGAAACGTGATATAATGTCAACAATTATCGAAGAAGCTGAAAAAGAAATTTCTCCACGGCCGTTTGATGTACAAAAAGAATGTAATACCGACATCCCAAAAAATATTTATCGAACACCTCGTCCGCCCTATGAAGAATTAAAATCAAAAAGATATTCAAGATTTACCTAAATAGTAAATATATAATATACCTAACTAGGTAATGATAATTATAATAATTCAATTACGTATAATATATTATGTATTTTTGTTTGAAGTAATATAATTTATTTTGAGGTTTTTTTTACACATTAATTTCAGTTCTTATATTATTAATTATAATAACACATTCGTTAATACATTAAATAACGGATTATAATATTATTAAATATACCTTATATGTAAATTTTATTTTTTTGTCTTTCCTATAAACTACCCTGAAACAAATTTCAACACAATAAAAATAATATGACCATCTAAAGAAGTGTATAACCTTTTTATAAATGTACTTTAATAACTTGTACCTTTAATTAATTTTTCTCTATAATTATTTTAATCGCGCGAAATAAATTCCGCGCGTGTATATTAGATACGACCCGTCGGACGATGTGATTTTATGACGTCACGCGTAAAACGCGACTTATATTTAAACACGGAACCAATTGTCCGACAACAATTTTAAGACCACCAAAATTATTCTTTTTCAAAGCCCTATACATTAAAACAATAAAAAAAAATAGGTTTTTTTAGTTGTATAGTCCTTTAATATGATATAAATCTCAAATATCAACGGTTATTAGTTTTTGAATTACAACAAAATAAGAAAATCACTACATGAGAAATCGAGTGAATATCAGAATATCCAATGTTGTACAAAATTTAAAACTATGTATTTTTATATAATGTCTGTGGATTTATCTTAAATCGTGACACCGTATGGATCACTACCTTTTGTTCCACAATTTTTTGTTCCAAGTCAACTTATTCCAATGATATTAACTTCCAAATTTTACTTTTGTTCCTATATACATTTGTTCCAATACCTATTTGTCGAAAAACATTTGTTCCAATGAACATTTTTTCCATATAAATTTCATCCAATTATATCTTTTCACATTTACATTAATTGTTCCGATGAACGTTTGTTACATAATTTATTTGTTCCACAGGATTTATTATACAAAACATTTGGAACAAATATTCATTGGCACATAATGGTCTTGGAGTAAAGAATATTTAGAAAATAATTGCGTGGAAAAACATTTGAATTGCATTTTTTATTTATGCATAAACCTTACACTTTAAACTTATAAGTTATAAGCTACTGAGGTATAACTGTTTAAGGTATTGATATGATATATTGTGTAGATTTGTGCTTACGGCTAGGTAATCTCAAGGAGGGCTTATTCATACAATCTATTCAGTATTTTAGGTAGGTACCTAATAGTACCTCCTCACTCCACAAAAAAAACAATTAAAACAACAGTGGTGTGCCCAGGAAATTCCAATGGAGGGAGGAGGTCATGAGTAATAATAATATATTTAAATGCAATGTGGGGGTAGTACCAAAGAAACAAATAAGGGGATTTATGGGTCAATGGAGAGGGCGAATGTAATGTTTTTGTATGCATAAAAAAGTCCAATTCAATTTTTAGTTGAATCTAGTCCGTATAATATATAATAAAAATTAATAATATAATGTGTAGGTGTATGGTCCACATAATATTATTATTTTGTATATAGGTCTAAAATAGAGATGATATTAATAATATAATAATATAAAAATCAAATTTTATTTAGCTTATTGCGAAAGCTCAAACACTTCACATATTCATTCCGCTGGGTGTATAATTCCAGAATGGAATATAATAGAACACAATTTTACAGAACGCTATGATCCATAAAAAAATGTTGCATAAAATATTTTACCTGAAAATAGAAAGACCAGAACTTAGAACGCCAGAAAGATAGGGGCATATCACTCATACCACAGCTTATATTATTATATTATTTCATAGTCTGTGGTTGCAACTTGGGGCAGATCTGATCTGATAAGAGAAATAATTTGCAAAAATATAAAAAAAATACCAGGAGGCGGGAATAATAATAAAAAAAAGACAAATTCTTAAAGCCTCGAAATTATATTGGTGTGAATTTTCTGTTCATGCTTTATCAGTTATAAGTTATAACCATGTACTGAATACATACATATTATATTATTCAATTTGATTTGATAGTTATTTTATTACTTATTGGTAGCATAGCCATAGGCCATGGGCTTTACTAGACCTTACAGTTAGGGTGGCTGCCCTCCGAACCTCCCCCCCCCTAGTTACGCCAGACTATAATATGAAATATAGTCCGTGTGTATACAGAAAATAAAATCCGACCCTGTCTCCGCTCGGTCAGCCTATATTTATAAATACAATTATAAGGATATATTTTTATTTTATATTTATGTCAATATTAGACATTATGTAGTACCTATTATAATTATTAAAATATTAGGTACCTATATCAGTATACTCATTACTCATACAAAAAAAAACCTACTTATAACAAATAAATAATAATAGGTACTATAGGTTTATACCGCCTGCAATACTTTTATGCAGTAAGCACTATCTCCTAATTCCTTATAATATGTCTCTACCATGGACTTAGACTTATCAATATAGATGTATTGACTATCTTAGTCAGTGGTCAATACTGATGTACTATACCTACTACTATAAATTGTACTGAGAAGTGAGAAGTGTAGAATTCTGAGAATAGGTTCATGTTATAGAAAGTTTAAAATTAATTTGAAGTTTTTGAAAATGTTATTGTGTATTTGCGTATGCGGTATGCCATATTATATAGGTATTAGGTAGGTAGTAATAGTAAATAATAATAAAGGTACGTACTACCCTGTTAATTATTGTTCTTTTAACTGTGTATCGTATGTGCATGTAGACATGTAGTAATGTAGTATTATAATACCATGTAGCATGTAGGTATAGTATGAAACTATCTAATTATAGGTAATTATAAATGTCAATATCTGAATATTAACAATATAGACATTATTTGTGAATTTAAGCAGTACATTACAGTAGTCAATAAGTCAACATTTAGTTATAACTTATAACTATAAGAAGTTTAAACAAATCATAATAATTTATTTATTATTATTAATATAAAGTAGGTATTATAAACATAATAATATGATGTATATCATTAACTACCTAAATAATTATTCTTAAAATTAGAATTAATTTTCTATGAAGTAAACTAAATGTTGATTTATGTTTAATTTTACTAATACTCTTATATTTTTGTCATTTAAGATATTTATCATTAATAATAATTATTATACATAGTCTAAGACGCAGGTATTTATTTTGTGTAATTTATTGTAATGCTTAAGACAGCATTTTTGCCCATTGTCAGAACTAAAACCACTTTCCCACTGTTACCCATACTATCAGTAACTTATATCATGACAATTAGATATGTATATTGTATAATGTATATCACATATATTTATAATACATCCGTCTATGTATTATAACTGAGCCTACATTTTTGAATGCCAAAATGGCAATTAATGCGGGTAATGCAATTAATGCAATATTCCAATGTGTTTTTATTTTATCTCAATAATTACTAGTAAATATTAGTAATTAGTAATATATAATCAATCATATTAGTATTTTTTAAAATATCAAACAAGAGGTTTATATTATAAAATATAAAATACAAATTGTAATATTTATAATAATAAATGTATTAGTTTATTTTATAATTTATTAGTTTGTGGAATACAATTAAATGTTTTTTTTAGTATAATATAAAAATGTAGATGCTTCTTTATTATGACGTATTGGACTAAAATAGTCAACACACTTCGTATATCATTATGCCTAGTTTTAAAGGAGTTTTGTATAGGCAATTTTACTGCGATTAAAAATTGTTTTTTTATATTAAATCGTAAACCTTTGAAAATTATATAAAAAAAGTTTTAGTTTTTAAAAACTGACAATTTTATTTTATCAATTTTCTTATTGTATATGTGACATTTTTAAATTCTACATTAGATCTTTAGGTGTGACTGCGTTGAATCTTGAAGACTTCAAGTCGATACGACCAATATTGAAGAAGTTAAGATTTCTATAGTTGTATTTTAATAACTATAACTCGAAATACAAAATTCAAGGTTTGGGACTCAGATCATCTATGATACAATCTTATAATGTACTTGAGCAAAAGTATTCAAATACTTTTTAATTATACTTAAATACCGCATATTTTACGCATACTTTTCAAAATACGTATCTATACTTGTATAATAAAAAAATATTTTTCACAAGGTCTGATTATACCTTAGGTATGAATTAATATATACCTACACCTGGTTAAAATTAGAACTCATACTGCAACTACACAAGAATAAAGAATTTATTAATTTCAAAAGTCACTAGTAATTTTATTACTACGCCACAAAACTACATAACTCATAAGTCATAACTAAATTATATATAACAAAACTAAATAAACTAAATATTTAACAGAAATTAACAATTTATTATAATATTATGTCACTGTTTAATCCAATAACATACCGTGTCTTTTATACCATGTATAGTAGGGTATTATATTAATCAAACTATAACAATATAACAATATAATACTGTCAATTGTCAGTGTCATATCACAAATATTGTTATTACTTATTAATATGATAAAATTTCAAATGTTCATCAATAATAATAAATGTTTTACTTATACGTTCGTTTTTTTCTCCATGATAATTACAACATATCCAAGGGGGAATGTTCCGCTCAGAGGACACTGCTTTTGCCGTACTGCACATCACGGGAAGATTACACAGTCGTTATCCACCTATTTGCACCTAACACAAAACCATTTACCGTATTCTATTTTACAGGGAGATTTCACAATTTCACAATTTCACAATTAATCTATTAATCTGTAAACTGCATACAACATACCATGGGCGCCCATTGGGGGGGGGGGGCAAGATAGGGCAATTGTCTATTTGTCTCCCCCCTGGAAAAAAAATAATACGAACTTGTTGTTCAAAAAATTTTACCATGATATAACCTAATTAGTAATTACCAAGGCAAATTATTTTTTAAAATCACTTTTAAGATATGAAATGTGAATAAAAATAAATATAGTTTAATACCTTAGTATTTGTTACAAATACTTGACAAATATTTTATTATATTTGTATGAATCAAATATTTTTCATATTCATTAATTGTGTGCTCTAAACGTTGTTTATCAGCTATAAGGCCATTTTATTGATACGCCCTTTAGATGCTGATCTCATTTTTGTGCAGGTCTCTTCTATTGTGTTTGTTTCAGAACTGATGTATTGATATAGGTAACCAAATGAATAGAAAGGTGTGGACTATGAAACTGTGCATTTTAATATGTTCTATGGAAACATTGGAAACTCTCCGATCCATTGATTATACATAGTATATAATATGGTTAGGTATATACTATGTATAATCAATGGTTGTACTAACAATAATAAAATAATATTAGAAAACAAGTTAGGTTTTAGTTATTACACCCTGTGTATAGTTATTATAGTATTACCGAGGATTTTCTGATGGCTCTTGAGGCCAAATTTTTGGTGGAAATATACAATCATCTTCTACATACGTATACGTATTACATATATGTAATATATAATCAGAAAATAAGCATCCTATATGGCTATATCTATATTTTGACATATAGATACAAGTTCAACGAATGCATTTTCGATCTCATGTGGTGGTAGGAATGGCAACCCGAAAAATAGTTTTAACCAATTTCCTAATACGCCGTCGTTTGTATATGCTGCTCGGAGTTGCTGATCAGAATTTATCTGTAAAGTTAATACGTTTAAATTTATAATTTTATTGTATTATGTGTATATTTATAATATATTTTAAGCATAATAAATTACTTTCCGCCACCAACACTGCCCTAAATGAAATCGACATGCTTGAATTTATCTTATGATACAACCAGGCCCGTATTTATGGGAGGGCCAGGGTGGGCCATTGCCTCTCCTGGCGGAACTTGGGGGGGGGTAAATTTTCACGAATTTTGTTTATGTATTAAGCTAACATATGGTTATAATTTTGAAATTATATAAAATATTTTTTTCCTTATGTATTGTGTGGTTTGGTGAAGATTTCAAAACATTTTCTATGAAACGGGCAAGAAGAAAAAATTGTTATCATTGTATCTATTTTAGTTTTTTATTGCAGTTTCAAACAAATAATATCATGCAAATATTATGATTATATATTATACCTACTTATACTTTCTCTATAATATAATAATTATTAATAATAAATGTGTAATGTGTTTAAAATTATTAATAAAAATTAATATTAATAATATAATTAAATATTATAATATAATATAAAATTAAATTAGTAAGCGTGGTGCATGGCGCCATGGTAAACCGCAACGTTATGCAAATGCGTAAAACAGAAAATCGAAAGCTTTGGAAGGACATAACTTATAAAAGAATGATTTGAATTTTCTTCTTGCACATTCGTTCTTAACTCATATTAAATACATGTTTAAAAAGGTGGGTAAGTGGATGTCGCTCTGCTGTACAGTAGGTTACAAGTGGGTCACTGTTTAATGGATGGTAAATTTGAATTCAATGATATAATATCATTGTATACGAAAAACGATTCTGAGCTGGGACGGGTTGTCATGTGGGATATTTGATATTATATTTAAATTTGTTATTACTTATTACAAATACGGTAGCCGGTGAGTTCAATTAATATTATTATAAAATTACAACAAATAATAACTAAAATCGTTTTTCTTGGTTATTTTATATGTAATTTCGTCCAAATATGAACATAACATAACTATAAAAAAAACTGTGTGTTTATACATTTTTTTTAACACTGGACATCCACATATTCCACCAAAAGGAGGGGCGGAATTTAATTAGTGCCCCGGGGCACATCATTTCTAAATACGGCCCTGGATACAACAAAAACTTATCTAATAGGTAAGTTAAGTACCTACCTATGTAGCCGGGAAAATATAATCATCTGTTTCATGTTTGGACCCTTAATTATATTTAAGTATACGTAAAAAGTACGTAAAACGCTATAACTAGTCAAATAGTCAAATACCTACGTAACCTTATGAAAATCTAGCAACATTGCGCTAAACTCTTGGGTACAAAACGTACGGGAATCGACAGGAATCGTGTGTCTTAAAATGTGTACGATTCCGTACGCTGATAAGGGCCGTACGGAATCGTGTTCTACCCACGTGCAAGGCACCTTAAGTTCAAATTTGGACGAATTACATAACATTTAAACATATAAAAACGATTTTAGTTAGATATTTTGTGGTAAATTAAAATTATTATTCACGTGTACCTACTCGAAACTCGACTGTGGTATAATCAATGCTGTTATACTTATATTACTACTATTTTATTCATATAATATCTATGCGTGCGCCAAATGCCAATGCTCTCCATTGCTCGGGGAATGGGAACAAAATACAAATCAACAAACTACAAAGCAGGGAAAAAATATTTATTGGAATATATTATTTTTGGAACAAATGGTTTATTCCGAAATTGTCACTTGTACATTTGTTCCAATGAACTTTTTTGCAAGCCATATATTCTGTTCCGATATATTTTGTCAAAATCCAATAAGCATTTATTCCAATGATATTTGTTCCAAAGGATTTATGCTACAAAAACATTTGTTCCAATGTTCTCTTTATCAAATTACATTTGTTCCAATGGATATTTGTTCCAATAAGTTTTTGGAACAAAAGTTTTTGGAACAAATGTCTATTGGAACGAATAATTGTGGAACATGTAATACAGTCCCACACCGTATTATCTAATATCCACATCGTGGTTATTCGATGGTTTTACATGGTTCTACTGATATAAATCTATTAACCAGGCGTGGTGGTCCCGCGTGCCGGGTGCGTTGTCGTTGTGTTGGCCGCACTGCCAGCTGAACCGCGGCGACAAGACCATAGTATTTTTTGATTCGCCGTTTTCCTCCAACTACTATTCGGCGTTTTTCGATTATCATCTCTCTTTATTTTCGTGTGTTTTTGGCGCAATTTATTGTTTTTCCTTTTTCCCTCCGCCTGTCATCGTGACGCCGTCCTGCGACCTGCGTCAGCGTCTCACTCTTTCCGCACCGCAAGTGCGCGTTTACACATTACGGGCTAAGGTGAACTCTGCTAAGTCTTCCGGTGACATCTCTGGTGCCCATCGTTCGTGCCGCCGCTACGAACCGCTCACCATACCAACTACAACGGAAAGACGACAGAGATTATTAGCGTGTTAGCATCTACCTGCGGCGATAATGGGAGACAAGGAAGGTGGTGAGTACGCGAGTGTCTGAACACCGGGTTTCTCGTCCGAATAATATTGTAATGATTATGGTATTAACACCGGCGCTTTGGTTGGCGTTTTACAGATACGTTTGACGAGGCGGTCGAGGAGCGTGTCATCAACGAAGAATACAAAATATGGAAGAAGAACACGCCGTTCTTGTACGACTTGGTCATGACTCACGCACTCGAGTGGCCGTCGCTCACCGCTCAGTGGCTCCCAGACGTTACTCGGTAATTTAATCATTTGAATCCATCCTTACCGTATTCATCGTATGTTGTTTTTTCCTCTACCGACTGACTATGTGCCTGCTTGTCAGATGTCACTGACCAATTCTGATGAGAAATATTGGTTTGGAAGTATAGATTTTTAAATACAGTGAAAACTATAACAAATGTCAAGGGAGCAACCGGTTCCTTTCGTTATATAGCGTTTTTGTAATAGAGTTGGGTATGAAGTAGAAATAAATAATAACATTTTAATAATTATAATTGATGTATGTATATATTTTATTACTAAAAAGTGTGAATGTAATTTCTTTTTACCTTTTTCTATCACACGCATTAAAGCCACTTTTTTATCTACTCTCAGCGTATTTCTTTTAATTGCCATGTTTACATAGGTATTAAATGCACTGCTGCAATAATGTATTAGAAATAATTATGTTGGATATAATTTCGTTAATTTCAGTAATATTTGATATTGTCAAAAACAATATAAAACTAAATGATTTAAGAATTTGTTTAAATTTTTACATTTATACCTTTTTTATACCTACTAATAACACAAATTTTATTTTTATTGAGAGTGCCTATTTCATTATAGGAAGTAAACTAATGTATGGGTTATTATGCGAAGCAATATGTTAAGTAATGGTTATGTTGTATAAAATCTTTCGTTGTATGTAGTTTTCACCATATTTATAATATGCTTTCATTGTAATTGAACTGTGTTCTATTCAGAAACTTGAATTTAACAATATAGATAATAAATTACAATTTACATAGGTACTAAAATCTGAAATCATTAAAATATTAATGTCTATACAAATGGAATAATTATAATATGAGCTTAAATATGAAGTTTAAATAAGATAATATTAAAATTTTTTTATTAATATTGCCTACTAATCTGTTAATATTATGGATATATTTTGTAGCCCGGAAGGTAAAGAGTATTCTATACACCGTTTAATACTTGGTACTCATACTTCAGATGAGCAAAATCATTTATTAATTGCTAGTGTTCAGTTACCTAATGAAGATGCTCAATTTGATTCTTCTCATTATGATGGAGAAAAACAAGGTACTTATAAAGATTGCATTCTAAAATGTGTTATTATTTTATGCTTTTATAAATATTTTAAATGGAACATATTTTTTTTAGAATATGGTGGATTTGGTTCTGTAAGTGGTAAAATCGAAATTGAAATTAAAATCAACCATGAAGGTGAGGTAAATCGTGCTCGTTACATGCCTCAAAATCCATGTGTGATTGCTACCAAAACACCATCAAGTGATGTATTAGTATTTGATTATACCAAACATCCATCAAAGCCTGATCCAAATGGAGAATGTCAACCAGATTTAAGGTAAAGTAAAATAAACATCCCTAATAAATTAAATTAACATATTTGTATTTAAAATAGATTACGAGGTCATCAAAAAGAAGGATATGGTTTATCATGGAATCCCAATTTAAACGGATATTTGTTAAGTGCATCTGATGATCATACCATATGTCTATGGGATATCAATGCCACTCCCAAAGAACATAGAGTTGTTGAAGCTAAAACTATTTTTACTGGACACACTGCTGTTGTTGAAGTACTTTACAAACTTTAGTCAAGTGAAATAGCATTTGCAACTAACTGTCTTATTTTCAGGATGTTGCTTGGCATTTATTACATGAATCATTGTTTGGTTCTGTTGCTGATGATCAAAAACTTATGATTTGGGATACGCGTGCAAACAATACAAGCAAACCGTCACATACTGTTGATGCTCACACTGCTGAAGTTAATTGTTTATCGTTTAATCCATATTCAGAATTCATTTTAGCTACAGGAAGTGCTGATAAAGTAAGCTACATATTATAATGTCTTGATACCTAATTCAGAATTACATATTTTTTTTTTTATATAATTTCTCCTTTAGACTGTAGCCTTATGGGATTTAAGAAATCTCAAATTGAAGTTGCATTCCTTTGAATCACATAAGGATGAAATATTCCAAGTACAATGGTCACCCCATAATGAGACTATATTAGCATCTAGTGGTACAGATAGACGTTTACATGTTTGGGATTTGAGTAAAATAGGTGAAGAACAGTCTCCGGAAGATGCTGATGATGGCCCACCTGAACTTTTGGTAATTATATTATACAAATATTGATTATAATAATTTATTTATAAATTGTTGGGTATTCAATTTATTTAGTTCATCCATGGTGGCCATACCGCAAAAATATCAGACTTCTCTTGGAATCCCAATGAACCATGGGTTATATGTTCAGTTTCAGAGGACAATATTATGCAGGTAATTGAGTAGTACATTAATATCTAGTTCCATATCTTAATAAAACATACAATCATTGTCGTACCATATTAACAATGATATTTTATCCCAGGTGTGGCAAATGGCTGAAAATATTTATAACGATGAAGAACCAGACGCTAGCAGTCCTGAAGTAGATGCACCTGTTCCTTAAACTTTGTACGTGTTTAATTAATTTTATGAACATTACCTTAAGCATAACATAATAATGGTCTTTTTAAAAAATTATTCAATATGCCATCTGAACTGTACATAAAAGCACTGAGTATATTAAATTCTATTCACGTCATCCTTGTAATTTGTACAATATATTATTTTATCATGTATCTTACATTTTGATAATTTATTGTTATATAATATTGTGCATAGAAAAATATTCTGAATAATTGTACCATTTAACAAATCCATTGATTTTTAATGAATGTAGGTAATTATTTTTTTTATTTATTATTATTATTTTTTTTTTTTTTTATATAATATATATGTACGATTTTGGAATAAACAACTCAAAATAGTAATATACTCTGAAAAAGTATTTATTTTTATTATTGTACTACAAGTGAAAATGAAAAACCAAACGATTTAAAAAAATAATAACAAACAATGAATAGTTATTTTAAGTACGCATGCGAAATGAAAGTATTTTTAATCTATGACCATATTGTCTTAATTTTATAAAAAAAAAATATATATTATATTTAATATTTTATGTGTGTACCTATTTAATACACATTAATTCATTTAAAACGGAGCTATTTCATCTATAAATTATCACAATCTTTTCATTACAATCATAAATGTTAACAAAGAAAAACTCCTTTAGGGTTATTTGGCCCTCAGGACTTTTTCTGATTAGGAACAAAAAAAAAAAAAATATACAAATTTATATAATGGTTAAAAAAAGAACTAAGTTTAAACTTAACATATTATGTCTTAATATTAATTTGTTCGTTTCGACTTTAAGTTTCTTAGATTTTGTGTCTATTACCACAAAGAGACTGATACAGATGAAATGCAAAAAAAAAATTTTAAAAACTTAAAATTGGAAGATCAAATAAACAAAATAAATAAATTGAAGTAGAAGCACCCCGTTGGTCAAGAACTGAGAAAAAATAACAAAATCAAAACAGATACATAATAAATTATGAAGTGCAAGAATATAGGTCAAATTCATAGTAAATGAGAGGGGGGAGGGATTAATTTCAATCTTCAATGGTAATTATAAAATGTTTGTAAACAATAAAAATACTGATTCTAATAAGGAATATTATTATCAATACAAATTGTTTCTAAATTAATACTTCACTGACTACTGAGGTATTTAATGTGTACAATAATAAATTATTATCTGTTGAGAAAGAGAAAAGAGAATTAATTTTTGTTGTCAGTTTTTGAAAAACACGGCAATTCTGTATGCAAACACTAAAACAATACAATTAATGTTATTAGAAAATATTAAAATAAGATTTAAAATAACAACTTATTAAATATCGGTTTCAGATACTGTTATTCTAGATACTGGTCAGATTAAAGTCATCAGATTTTAGTATTTTACAATGGTAGAAAGTAGGGTATACAACAAAGTATAAAGATTTTTTTTTTAAAGGGTTTTTAGTATTGCATCAACAATTATTGTTCACTGAATTGGCCACATTTTCTTGAAGAAATGCGTTAAACGACGTACAAGATGTGTATTAATTACAAAACAATACTTACTTTTATTATAAAATTAAGCTTCAGTGACTAAATGTGAACTTTTCTTGGGTGTATATATAGTGGCATTTGGATCAAGGCTAGACTGAGGTGAATTACTACCACCAAACCTCATTGTTGGCGATCCGCCAACAGAGTTTACCATATGGTAAGAGTTATTTGGTGGCGTCATAATCATTGTCTGAGCCATTTTAGACTTGAGTTCTTCAATCTCTTTTTCTAGAGATGAAATTTTATCTAAGGACAAATATCAATATTATTATATTATCAAATAGCTATGATTATATTAAAAAAATTACTAATTTTAATTTCTAGCTGTCTCTTGGCTTCGCCTAATGCTGAAAACAGATCGAGTTTAATGCGCGTTTCCGCGCTCAGACTGTGTTCTAAGTGAGCGTTTTTGTCTTTCAATGTTGACAATGCAGACATAACAAAATCAATTTTATCTTGACTTTGTTTGTATGGTTGAAGATCCTACAATAAACATAATAATTTTAATTCAATATTAAAATAAATAAATTTAAATTTACATTGACTTCTTTTTGGGCCGCCACATACTGCTCTTCTTTTATCCTAAGTTCTTTGCGTAATGCTTTGGCTTCACTTTCAAGCTCTCTGCGCCTAACCTTACAGCTTTCTGTACATTCTGGTCTAAAATAAAATTATGAATTTTTATTTAGTTATAAAATAAATAAGTAAATATTTACTTGGTAGATAAAGCTGATAATCTAGAAGCAGCAAGTTCTTCAACTTTTTTTAATTGTCGTCTTTCTGTGACTAATTGAGACTCACATGAAATCCTTTGTCGTTTTTCATCTGACAAACGTTTTTCAAGTTGAGACACCATCTGCCTATCATTTTGATGGGTTACTACCAAATTGATAACCCTAAACAAATTAATTTTAATACAACACAATACAAAATATAGTATCTAATAAAGCATTATATAGTATTATATTTTACTTAGATTTGGTATCTTCATGTTCTTGTTTTAGCCTTGTCAAATCATGTGATGTATTTGAATTTTCAACCAAAGCAGAATTTAACTGATTTCTCAGTTCTTTTTCTGCTTGATTACATGAGTGAAGTTCACATTTAAGCCTTTTTAACTCATTTTCCAATCTATTAATGTATTTAACATATTAATAAAAGAGACTAGGTATTTCAATATAATAAAAACTTACGTTTCACAATATATGTCTTTAGGATCAACAATTAAAGGCTTTTCTATTCTTAGTGGTGAGGTGCCTTTAGCTTTTGTAGATTCTTTTGTGCTCGAGTTTTGATTACTACACCTTAGATGATTATTATTTTTAGTTGATGACACTCTAGGAGTCACCCTTTTATTTTTTTCTGTTTCTTTATTTACATGATTTTCTTGATTACTATTACATCTACAATAACCAAATTAATATTATTTCCAATCTACTTTAAACATTAAGAGGACTCTACCTAAATAATAAGCACTTACATTAATTTATCATTAGTTACTAATTTTTTATTAGGTATTTCAGTACATATAGTATCTTGCTTTTCATGTTTCTTATGTGGAACACTACCATTAGATATCACTTTATTAATATGTATATCATTGTCTTCTGCAGGTACCTCACAAATTGATTCCAACCATATTTCTATATATAAAAAATTATAAAATTTGATGTTAAGATTTAAGAATTTACATTTAGAGAAATTAAATTACCTCCATCATCATTTTCTTGACTAGGTATAATGGAGCCGGTTATTCTATCAAAAGGCAAAGCATCTAATAATAAGTTCTGGTAAAACTCATTTTCTTTAGAAACCCTATGTTGTTGTTTCTAAAAAAAAAATTGTGATTAATAACATACATTTCAAGTATCATGCTCTATGGTTGGACAATAATTTAATTTTTACCACTCATTAAATGGTATTTAAATTTAATTAAATCTATTTTATAATGCTTACCTGTCTCAATTTATGACTTAAATAACTTTTGAAACCAAAACATAGTGTAACCACAGGATATCCAATACTAAAAATTAGTAAGCCATTATTATGTGTTATTTATGAATTAAACAATATACAATATTATAATGTATATATACATTATTTAGTATCTTACCAGTTAGCAGCTAAAGGTTTACACAAAACCAATTTATAGGGAATATGGTCAGGGTTATTCAGTCGGATATAAGCCTCCACATAAATGTACAAGACTAATAAAGTTACCACTGGCCAAGAAACACATTTTTCTACATAATGTATACAATAAAAATTAGGCAAATATATAAAAATTATAAGTAACAAATGTACACTAATATTTGACTAACCTGCTTGGTAAATATATTGTACCCAAAAATAAGTACTAGCAACAAACAGCAACCAATGTACGGGTATGAAGAAAAAGCACACCATGTCTGATGTCAATGCAATGCAAACAAAAAACACTGTATAAACCTGCAATATTAAAAATACATGAGTAAGAATATTTAATGTTAATTTGATAAATACATATTACCTAAACATTTTATAACTTAAAAAATAAGATGCTAACATATTTTTTCTTATAACTTATACTTGACACTATTTTAAATTTTAGCCATAAATCACTTAAACAACACCATCAAAATGTAAATCTATGCATATGACTAAATATAAATTACAAAAATAGTATTGTTTAATAGATCCCAATGACCTATGGTGCCTATTTTTCCTGGAAACTTCATTGACATAGATAAGAAAGCTGGAGTGTGTAACCCTACTTATTACTGGCACATTTGTAGTGTCAAAATGGTTACTTTTTAGTATTAAATGTTATTGAACTTGTTGATAATGATTTTTAATGACAAATGTTAACTACCTATAAAATTATTTAATGACAGGTTCAGTTCAAGTTGATTTAAGACGCATACTACCAGGAAAAATGAAAGCGGTTCACTATGTATTAGACAGTATAATAGTTATTTCTCCCCACAGTTATCAACAATTAAAATAGTCACACACACACAGAATATTATAATTTGTACATCATCTATGTGTATACTTACAAATCCTTGATGTTTGATTCCTTCAACAATTTTGTGAAACAGAAGCCAAAATGGCCAGACGTACTCAAACCGAAAGTGTAGTAAATAATCAAGTAGTATCAGAACGAGCCAAATTCCAAACAGCTTCAGGTAATGAACAGAACTAAAAACAACAAATATTTACTAGTTTGGTTTCAACAGTTGATAATAAATTGTGCCCAGTTGTGATCATATACCTCCAGTAGATTCCTTCGGTGGCGGATTTGTTTCTTTTCAAGGCCTTTCGAGATTTTCCACAATCGCCATTCCTTCTCTTCATACTACCAATTATTGTGTTTATTCAAATGCATATATAAAACTGTGAATCAGATCGTCGAGAAAAATAACAAAATGTAATCTAGAACGGTGCAGAGATTCGGTAGTTTGGTAGCTGTACTATGGATTGCTGTGGGACATGTTCGAGTAGTGTTTCAATTTAAATTTCGAGCGATCACGAGACATGAATTCATGACTGACCGCACGAATTACAAAATTGAATAATAAAATAAATCCATACAAATCATAACCAACAAATCTCGATCATCACTTGGCATAAACGAGAGATAAGAGTTGTAGTCGGATGATAAACATTTTTCACACAGTGGGTCGGTTAGCCTTTGTCCCTCCCCTTGCAATAGGTAATAACTTAAAATGCCTATGGGGATATCATTGCCTCGTCTGGACCGGGATCGAATCGAAATGATCGTGAGACCATTCGACAATCGATCGCCCGAATACCGGTAAATGTGAATCGACACGTTTCGATTGTCCGATATTCAATCGAGCATTGTTTTATAGTTACCGATCGTCAGCAGCTGCAGGCTGAACATAGGTAGTATAATGGCCACGCTCGCGCAAAATAAATGTAAGTGCGCAAAGGGTGACTTAACTGTTCTAGTATAATAAAGACTAAAGAGTCTATGATATGTCCATGTTCAAACTATATAAGTCTGTACAGACAGTGTATAATATAAAATATATCAAATTGTCGTCGGCGGACGGCGTGGTTTTTTTTCCATGAAATTCAAAAGCGTAAAAATATCGTTGCATTTTTAATTATAGGTATATTAGTTTATAGGTGTCTACCATCACGGTCTTAGAAAAGTATAGGTGTATATTATTAAAAAAATGTTCAATTACTTAAATTTATTTTAAACTGTGATGCTACCAAGTGAATTGTAAGTAAGTAGGTAGATAGGTACTAAGTTGTCACTAGCAACGTATTGTCATTACGATGATCTCCTCTGTCGTAGTCCTCCTACCTCTGTAATAATAATTAGGTAACAATTATTAATAATGTGTCTATACCTCTACAACTAGTACCTACTACCTACCGTATTATACGTCCTTTGTCCATATTATAGGTATAACTTTTGTATAAGTAGGTACATTACTGTATTATTTTATGTACCACAATACTACATATATATTAGTCTATATAATAATATATATTATATTATATTATAATTTATTAATATTATCTCTAATATTACTCTAATATTATTCTGATCAAGATAAAAATACAAAACTAATAAGTTTAAACGTAGGTATAAATATGAGCATTGAGGGAAGGTAATAATAATAAATAATAAATTAATGTTCGATTCCAACCGATCGATTTCAAAATGTACCCGTTTATATATATAAACCAAAACCAATGTGCTCAACTATAGATAACCATATGTTTATATAATTTCAAATTTAACAAATATGTATATTGTATGACGTATGTCAGTGCTTTAACCAGGAAGGCACGTCCCCCCATGAAATCTTTATTTTTTGGCTTGTTAATTGTTTTATATTATATTATAATATGTTTGATAAAAATTAAAAGTCAAGTCTGTTGAACGCGAACCATACTACTCTTGTCTGCAACCTTCCCCATTAAGCGGTCGGATTTGGGAAATATTCTATGTCCACCATGACCCATGTGTGAGTGGATCAGTGACTGTGTAGTGTGTCGTGTGTGTATAGTGACTGATTGATCAGTGATCATTAGTGTGCTTGAGTTAACTGAACGTTTTATGTAATTAAAGATAAACTATGGTATGGACCCGTGTCTATGGCTAAGATTCTTGGAAATTTGTAACGTACATACGAGCTATCACACGTCACAAAAGTCCAAAAAATCGGATGAGAAATTCACCGAGTACCAAAATAGACCTATTTTAATTTTGAAAACATATTTGAACTCCTTAATCTCTTTTCTATAGATTATGTGAAAAATGGATTTTCGATTTGTTGTATTGTTAAATTAGGTAAATGGACATCCCCTCCCTACTGTTTTCAGTCTACTAGGACCTTTCCCCCTCCCTTTTTTAAAAAGTTTATTATTGACTAATTATATTGAATAATAATATTAAATTATTTTTTTTAATTAAAATATAAAATTGTTTTTATTTTCATAAATATAATAGATTATATAGATGTATATTATGTTTGATCCACTGAACTACTTGAAACAATAAGAGTTAAAAAAAAAAAAATTAGTATAAAATATAATTAACAATTAATAAGTATGGCTAAAAATTCCGACATAAAAATTTTGTACAAAGCTTTTGAATTAATATGATTCTTTTGTTATTTCTTAACTTATAATTTTTAGCCTTTGTTCATAATTATTAATTTTTTTTTTTTGTTAAAACTGTGCCAGTTTGAATATTAAACAATTAAATAATTGCTTGTGAATTTGATTCAAGTAGGTAGTTCAGTTGATCAAAAAGGTGGGCAAGTGGGTGTCGCTCTGCTGTACAGTAGGTTACAAGTGGGTCACTTTATAATGGATGGTATTAAACTTGAATTCAATGATATAATATCATTGTATAAGAAAAACGATTCTGAGCGGAGACGGTATGTCAGTCTACTAAAATCGTAATTCTTGGTTTAAATATGAAATTTTGTCTAAATTTGAAATTAAAATGTCTGTAAAAAATAAGTGTGTTTATATATCTTTTAGATTTTTTGGTTACAGTATGAATTATTTAAGAGAATCTTTGTTTTAAATTTTCAACTCTTAGTTATAAAAACTGAACATTTTATAATTTTTTAATTCCAACGATTGATAATTTTCGAGATTTTGATAAATTTTGTCAAAATTCCAACTTTAAATGCTTATAAAAAAAAATTGTGCCTATGTATTTTTAAAATTTTTCAACTGATATTGTAACAATATATAAGAAAGCTTGTATTAAATTTTCAGACTTTTTGGCCCACCAAATAAAATTTTATTGACAATTATAAAAAAAAAAACTAAAAAAATTGAAAACTGAAAATGTCCGTAAACAGCTCAAAAAGAGTCAAAATATTTTCAAAATTGTATGGTGTATATGAAATGCTAATATAAACATTCAGTGAAATTTTCATGTATCTACAGTTATTCGTTTTTGAATTACAACAAAATAAGGAAATCGCTACATGAGAAATCGAGTGAAAATCCAATGTTGTAAAAATTTGAATTTCAAACGCTCATAAAAATTTAATTTGACTGTCCGGTAGAGATTTTTTATTGATAAAGGTAGATAATCTTATAAGGAATCTTGTGTTTCATTTTCAAATCTTAGATTTAAAAAGAAAAATTTTTACGAATTCTTAACTCAAAATAATTTGCTAATTTTTGTGATTTTTCCATATTTTGTCAATTTTTGAACTTTAAATGCTTATAAAAAAAAATTGTGACTAAGGATTTTTAATATTTTTCATCTGCCTTTGAAACAACATATTAGGAGCCTTCTATTAAATTTTCAAGCTTTCGCAACCAACAAATAAAATTTTATTGATATTTCTAGAAAAAAAACTAAAAAAAAATGAAAAATGAAAATGTCCCTAAACAGTTCCAAATAAATCAAAATATTTTGAAAATGTTATCGTGTATAGAAAATGCAAATATAAACAACCAGTGAAAATTTCATGTATCTACGGTCATTTGTTTTAAAGTTACACCAAAAACCAAATTCGATTTTTTGGAAAATCGATTTTGCGTAAAAATTCCCGTTTTTCCTTAATTTTTATGTTGTTTTTCCCGGCGCTTGTGAAAACTACTGGAAAATGTTTACTTTTGACCCCCCAAAGTACCAACTAGATTCACTTTCCTATCAGAAAAGGTACTATTGAAGAAAATCGAAGCACTTTTACTGTCCTAAAACGTGATGACAGACACAAAAATATAAATAAAAATATAAAAATATAAAAAAAAACATACATCATTGTAAAACCAATAGATTCATCGCTCCGCTCAGAATCTAAAATATACATCTATAATTTATTATATTTATAAAAATATTTGAAATATTAAACAATAGGCATAAATTAATTTCATATTAAATAGTAAACTTTGAAAAAAAAATGGGGGGGAATGTCCACATTATAAATCTATCGGGGGGAAATGTCCGAGGGGGGGGGGGAATATATCCGCAATTCGTTAAATTAGTATACCTAGTAACAAATTAATTTTCTTTTTTTTTAAATTTACTTTTCCTTTAAATTTTTAAAAAAAAATTGTTTCTTACAAAAATAGACAAAAAGCGAGGATAATTAACTTAGGACTTCAAATAATTTTTCAAAATTACCGACTTCTGGAATTATATTTTTTCAGCTTATTGGTATAAATGCACATGCAAAAAACGACCAGCTTTCTACAGCCTTAATATATTAGTCTTGTATTCTTGTTAGAAAATTGTAATAATATTCGAACAAAAATGAAATGTTTTGCTTACGACACATATCGGTATAATGATATTAATACACTGAATACATTAACCTATGGTTTAATACAATGTTAAATGTTAATACACATTCTATTCTATTAAATGTTTAATGGATATTGTATAGGTATTAACTATGGGTACCATATGTCCATATATAATATTATAGTTGTTATTAACTTAATCAGTGGCAGACCCAGGGAGGGGGGTTTGGGGGGGTCAGCTAACCCCCAGTTAAATGTGGCCCCTCGAAATGGCAAACTATATAAACATTTTTTTATTTGAAAAAATTATGTACAGCTTGGATTTAGATTACGGGCAATGCCCCCTGTCAATTTTCTGTCGACAATTTATTATGTAACTACGAGTATCGTATAAATGAACAATTCAGTTAATAAGAATAATTCTACCAACTATTAATTATCATTTGAACCCATCAAAATATCGAAGATCTGCTATTATGATGTGGGGGTATATACAGCCGTGAAGACTGAGTATTGAAGTGAAATAATGCGTACGAAATCGTGCTTAAGCTTATCACCTTATAATGGACCTAAATTCGAAAAACACAAGTATAAAA